AGCGCCCGCGTGTGTGTGTGTGTGGGCGAGGGCTGCGGTGCCACAGTGCCGAGTCGCGCGCCGCTCTTTCCTGCCAACGCTGTCCCACATTCCACAGCCCCCGGAGGCTCCCTGCCCTCCGCACAGGGCTGGACCCCAGCCGGGCCGCGCGCCCCCCCGGAGCGCCCCTCTGCACATCAAAGGCAGCGCCTCTGTGCTGCGGCGGAAGCCGGGCGACCCCCTCGCCGTCCCAGAAAGCCCCCTTTGTGTCGTCAATGGCTCCACTGTGGCCCCGGCCGACCTCTGACCCCCCTGGCCGCAGCCCAGTTTCCAGCGCGTGAAGACGCCCAACAATGCGCCCTTCTCCACGTCCGGAGATCGGCCGCTGGCCTCTGGACGCCCTCCCGCGCTGGGCTGAAGGGGCGTCTAGATGTGGGGTTGTAGTTATTTGTTTTGAATGATGGGTCACGCTTCTAGAGTCATGAAGGCTCATGTCAACCCAGGCACAGCGGGCGTCTCCAGCTCAGAGTTGAGGAGTACTGGATACACCTACTGTAAGCTGCTCGCCAGTTCACACCAGCTCCTACATTTCCTCTGGACCTGCTGTGACTTTGGGGTGTCCCGTCAGCGCGGTTTCTGCCGACATGAACAGACTGCTCTCACGACAAGCAGCTCCGCCCGAAATAGCTTCTGTAGAAGCTCTCGCACATTCCCGCACACACACACACTCACACACGTTTAGAGCAGTAAACACAGTGCAGCCTGACTCCAGGGCGAATTATCATGTCTCACAGGTGCCGATGGCGTAAGACAGCTGTGTGCACAGGGTACCAATTATACCGCTGCTGCCTTCTCTGACACTCGCTATTACACAGCCTGTAATCTGCGCTGGAACCCCAGCGCTCGGAGAGAGAGAGAGAGGAACAGAGTTAGGGAGAGCAGTGAAGTATTGGCTGCTGGTATAAAGCAGCGACCAGAACTTCTGTCACCAAAAAGGGCCCTGCTGAGCCCAGAGCTGAGCCCCCTCAGCCAGCTGGTCCTGAAGCTCACAGCACCGAGCCACACAGACACCAGCCAGCCACAGGACAGCTCTGTGGACACAGCACAGGTCAGAGCCAGCCACATCACAACTCAGATCAAACAACACGACCTCACCCGCCGGAGGACACACCAGAAC